TAGAGTCAGGAGACGTATTTGTAATATTGTTCAGCGAGCAAAGCAGGAAGGGGAATTGGATGTACTTGTAAATCTAGGGACAAATGACCTTGTTTGCAATGATTTTTCAGAGGTAAAGGAAGTTTTTTGTGTTTTTGCCAATGATATACGGCAGGTTGCTTCCACACTGTCATTCTCTGAAGTTCTGCCTGTGCATAACACAGGCAGATGCGTATTAGGGACTTTAACTTGGCTTGCTGAATGGTGTCGGGAGCAAGGATTTGGCTTTATTTCTCATGGTACTCTGTTTGGAATGGAAATAAACTGTACAAAAAAAGATGGTTTGCATCTTCCTCAAAGGGGAATTTTTTTTCTCAGCGAACAGATCAGAGGTTTTACTAGGATGTATTTAAACTGGGAGGTGGGGGTGGGGCAAAAGGGTGATAAAACATCAATCCAATTGCCCCCCAAAACAAAGCCTGAAGGTGCCTGTAGCAAGTGTGTTAAAAAATGATACGCTTAGAGTCATGTCTACAAATGCTCGCAGTTTGGGGAATAAGATCCATGAACTTGTGGCAATAATGGCAAATGATAGTGTAGATTTAGTCGCTGTTACTGAGACATGGTACAATGAGAAAAATGACTGGGACATACCAAAACCAGAGTACTCTTTATATAGAAAAGACAGGGAAGGCAAGAAAGGGGGAGGGGTGCCTCTGTATGTGAAGGATAGCATAAAATCTAGCCTAATAAAAGTTAGTGAGGTGAACATAGAGTCGGGGTTACATTAGAATTTGGTAATCACATAGTAACTCATGTAGGTGTAATTTATAGGCCCCCAGGACAAATAGTAGAGTTAGATAATCTACTAGTTGAGGAAATAGCTAAAATAACAATGAAGGAGGAACTAGTATATTAACTAGACAGTGATAACGTTAATGGCAGCCTTCAGCCTTCACAATGAGTACCATCAATGGTATACATAAAATAATTCTCTAACAATATAAAGTTAATCAAGAAGTTAATAAAGTCAAGTTGGATAAATAAATTAAACAAGGCTAGGGTTAACACCCCCTCAATAGTATATTACAATAATTCATCAACAATAATCTTCCATAATCTCTGAATAAAGCGCAATAAATTTTGAATTCATATGAGAAATTGTATACAATTAATATACAGTTAATATTCAAAATTTACCCAATATACCGTTTATATTTAGAATTTCCCCTTTTTCGGCATTGAATTGGGTTTTATTATTTTGCTCCCGTGCACGCATGCGTATTGCCAGCTCGGATAGGTTGCCATCTATCTGGTGCCGTTACTAAGCGGATGTGTTCATGCAGATGTTACTGTGCCGTTACTATGAGGATGTGCGCATGAGTATCCATCTTTTAGACAGCGCATGTGCGCTACTAATGAGGACGAAGACTTTTACATTTAGACATCCCTTTGAACGTTTAGCGTCATCAGGCTGAACGTCAATACGTGAACTTCATCACGCTTACATCACGAGGAAGTAGTTTTCGGACGGGATTTTTCTAGATTGTCTAGTTTATAGTTAATGAATTATTTAAACCTAATTATGTTGACCTAATCAAGATCCTCTTATTTAATCAATTTTAATTGAATGTCTAATTTGTAGCACATCTGTCAGCCTCCACTAATGGGTAAGCTACATTGAGATGTATGAATTTAATTTATTAATTGTTTAATTATGCTAATTTTTGTTTATTATGAAAATTGATTTGTGTATGCATTTCATAGCTTGACAAAGACCATGTAGGTCGAAACGTTGTGAGTGGCAGTGGGTTCAATAAATTTGCCTTTTTGTATCTTGGAGTGCCTGGACCGTTTTGTATTTTTTCCTTATCAAGTGTTTGGTCCCTAAGGTACTGGGACTGGCCTGGTTGCACCTGGATACATACTACTTGGGAATGAGTGCAGTTCCACACCCTTGTTTTGGTCATACCAGAGTTGTGGCAGCTGACATTTAATGTGAATAAATGCAAGATAATGCATCTTGGATGTAAAAACCAAAGGGCAGAGTACAGAATATTTGATAGAGTCCTAACCTCAACATCTGGGGAATGGGATTTAGGGGTGATTATTTCTGATGACTTAAAGGTAGGCAGACAATGTAACAGAGCAGCAGGAAATGCTAGCAGAATGCTTGGTTGTATAGGGAGAGGTATTAGCAGTAGAAAGAGGGAAGTGCTCATGTCATTGTACAGAACACTGGTGAGACCTCACTTGGAGTATTGTACGCAGTTCTGGAGACCGTATCTCCAGAAGGATATTGATACTTTAGTGAGAGTTCAGAGAAGAGCTACTAAACTGGTTCATGGATTGCAGGATAAAAATAACATGGAACGTTTAAAGGAACTTAACATGTATAGCTTGGAGGAAAGATGAGACAGGGGGAATATGATAGAAACATTTAAATATATAAAGGGAATCAACACAGTAAAGGAGGAGACTATATTTAAAAGAAGAACAACTACAACAACAAGAGGATATAGTCTTAAATTAGAGGGGCAAAGGTTTAAAAATAATATCAGGAAGTATTACTTTACTGAGAGGGTAGTGGATGCATGGAATAGCCTTCCAGCTGAAGTGGTAGAGGTTAACACAGTAAAGGAGTTTAAGCATGCATGGGATAGGCATAAGGTTATCCTAACTATAAGATAAGGCTAGGGACTTATGAAAGTATTTAGAAAATTGGGCAGACTAGATGGGCCGAATGGTTCTTATCTGCCGTCACATTCTATGTTTCTATGTTTCATAATATGTTGGACTCACTGTTGGTACTCAAAGAGTTAAAATATGAATGCAGTAATTAGAGAATTTTAAAAGAATGTATATTATACTTTTGTAATGATATACATCAGTAAAATTATATTAAAGATTAGTGACACATATCATTCAAGACTTTTGGCAATGGGCATTTCAGTAAAATGTCACATAGCATCGTTCTGTATGATTGCCTTATCTGAAGCTCACAAGAGGCAGATTTGAGTGTAGCTTTTTGTAATTCTGACACTAGGATACCACAACATGATTTTTATTCATGTACCACATGGGACAAAAATGCCTGGTATCTTCTTTTCTAAGATGACAGCTAAAGAAACATGCTGTCATTTTCAAAGAGTGTGACACCAAGCGCGTGCCAGCCTATTCATAGGCTGAAGTGCAACTACTTTTCTTTTTAAGCCATCAAACAAAACACGGCAAAAGATCTGTTGTGTGTCAGAAAGAAAGAGATAATAATATATTTATTTTTTACATATTCATGTTCCTCCCACCATTTTACTCTTTTTTATTCTCTAGCTGTCATCCATGTGTCATTATTGTAGTTCTTTGATTATTTCAGTAGAATTCTGACACAATCACAGAATCTGTATCTTTTTCCAGTGCGCTTGAGTTTAGATCAGTCTTTCCATATGTGGGCAGGAAATCATTGCATTTCTTTCTGCTTTGGCCATAAAATAATATATATAATAAAAATGAAATAAAATTATATTTATATCTATCTATAGATAGCAAATGAGGTTGGCTGCACTCCAGTCTTCAAAACTCTAATTCATTATTAAATCAAGGTTAAAATGATCAATGTTTCAGTCCCTACTGGTACTTTCCTCAGGATTAAAACACACAATACATGCAAGTTACATATATAGAATGTAGAAAAAAACTGGGATACAGCTGTAAACCTAAAAATATAATACAAACAAACAAAATAACATAGTGTAGTATCCTTTGAAACACTTAGTGACATGCCAATATAGTACACTCACAGAATATCAGGATAATATGCGCCTGTAGGGTGCCTCCCCCGATAACAATGGGGGACTCAGATATCCTCCTTTATTCCTCCTAGCAGCGTAATTCAGTATATAAAGTGAGCAGGAAGGTGGTAAAAAAAGCTATTTTATTTCCAATAAATTAAAAGGTATAAAATACCACTTTAAGTCCTATGCGTTTCATTCCAGTATAGGAACTTTTTCTGGGACTTCGTAAAAAATATGTATTTCAATAAAATTACAAAGATACAGAATGCAGTATAACAATGTATCCACCTAAAATACCTCTCCCCTCCTTCCCTCTTAAATAGGATATTATCTGAGTGTTGAATGGTGGCTCCATGGGTGTTTCTCCGTTATCCCCGGTGATTCGCCACTCTGGAATTCTCTATAAGCTGTTTGTATTTTTCAGTTTTCATTTTTTCCCACGGTGGTGTTCCGGGTTGATGACATCATCCTTGACGCATACGTGTATGTGCGTTCCACTTGCGTCTACAACGTATGCGTTCCATTGAGATTTGTTTGTGTGCATACGTTTTCACTATTTGTCACAGAGTTCATGCGGAAGTCTCATATATGCATACATATTGGCATTTTTGAAAAGAGAAGAAACTTGTCAGCCCTTTTCATAAACTTTGACATATGATAAAACATATTTACTTTGAATGAGTTATATATAGCCAACCCTAGGCTATCTAAACTACATTCATCACATCCTCATATATATGTTTTCTTTTATACTAAGGATACTTTTTTATATACAAATGTGATTTAAAACAATACATCTAATAAACATGAAAAAGTTATCTATAAACCATATATATATACATACAAACATTTATATATAAAATCTTTCATAGCTTAGCTTCATGTCTGTCTGCAAAAGACTACAACGCTCCTTTGAACTGAAGCAAGAAAAACAATCAATTAATTAAGTTATGTTTAATTCCAATAATGATTAGTAATTAATTAATGTAATACTGCAATGAATAATATTAAATAATAATTAAAAATAAAATAATAAAAATAAATAAAAATAATGATAACTATAAATATAAAAATAATGAATAAATTAAAAATAAACAAAAAAAGTAAGAAATGAATATAAAGATAATAATAATAATAAATATAAAAAGTGAAAATGAAAATAAATAATACAAATAAAAATAAAAATGAAAATAATAATAATAATAATTAAACTTAAAATTAAGAATAAAGGGGGCAGGGAGTGACTCTCAACATGACCGGACGTGTTTTCTAAGGGCTCCTGCCATCAACTACTCTAAATCAGTTTAAACTGCATTTACCCTACCGCAAGCAGCACATAATCAAGAGCAGACTGCAGCACTAAGGAAGCAGTTCCTAAAATAACCCCTTTGAACACCCACAGAAACCGGAGCCCAGCAATGCAGCCTAGTCCGCAAGGAGACATGCGGGGAAACTGCAGGAGAGATGGCTGCTCTCTCATGGTCATACCAAGCGATGACCTCAACATTGGTCCCTGCCTCCCCCCCTTTGGACCGGTGGGGGTTATCCCGGTCCCCACCAACACAGGGCGCACAGCACGGCAAGCTCCAGTCGCGCCACACAGCTTGGAAGGCAAGCCACGAGGTTCTAAGTCTGTGGATTGCAGGTGTTGAACTGTACACCGGCCAGGGGCTGGAGAATTCCTTCTATCTACCTCACCATTCCCCTGCAGACTCTACCGGTACAAAATGCCATCCTACCCAGCAGGGGTATCGGCTGAACTAGGTCCTTTCACTAAAAGTCCCACCAACAACATTCTCTGCCGAGCGCTATTAGGGACCTAACCTGGACTGCCCGCATGGACTCTCTCTATTGGGCTGCCACCGTGCAGATGCGCTCATCACGCTGTCTTATGGAATAAGTTTTCTTATAATTCTGAAGGGTTGGTGGGCAAACTAGCATGTTTAGATATGACCTAGCCTTATTACTTGCACTATTACTGCACTAATATTAACTTTAGCATATTGTGACTAATCAGGTTAGTATAATGTACTTGATAATGTACTTGATATAATAACCCTTGAAACGTAGGGGAAATAATAAGCCTGTTTATGACATACACACTAAGCTCACAGGTTCACCCTGACCACACGCATGTCCGACTCAACTTTTCAGTCAACCTGTATATGCCAAATCTATATGTTACTGAAAGCATATGTACCAAGATTAGCATGTCAAGCGATATTTCATATAGAGGTTAACCTAATCCAACATGACAGTAAGCCACTAGTTATCCTGAAAATGTAACAAAAGTTTTATTGCATATTACCTAAGCCTGTTTATAAAAAGCTTTGTTAAACCACATAAAAATAAAAAAATAGTTACAAATGTTTCGGAAATATTAACTAACAATGTTATTGAACCCTATATTGTATGCCGATTGCACACTTCTGTATCCCATCTCATATGCCTCAATAAAAGAAAGATTTAAAAAAAAAATAAAAAAATATATAAGTAGAAATAAAAATAAAAGTAAAAATAAAAATAGAGATAATAACTATAAGAAATAATAAAAAGAAAAAGATAAAAGAAAATATAAAAGTAAACATAATAATTAGTATATAAAAAGGAAGTAATAGATAATAAAAATAATAAATAATAATAGTAATAATGAAAAATATATAAATAAATAAATAAAAATGAAAATAAAAAATAGAAATGCAATAAAAATTGAGATGTGTCGATACAGACAGACATGAAGGAGATAGGAACCATGATTTTTCCATGAAACACACCAGGTTGACAATCCCTTCGGTTCCAGCGTTTGCATCCTATAAATCCAATAAGTCTCCCTTTGGGATAATTTGTTTATACGATCCCCTCTTCTCCAATGGGGGAGATCTTGTTTTATACTCATACATTTAAAATCTTTGAATGTAAAGACAGGACAGGAGTTGCAATGTACTGGAACCGAATGGGTTTTTAAATCCCTTTTAATATTGTTAATGTGTTCCATTATTCTGACCTTAAG